ACAAATGCTTCAGTCTGATGGAACGCCCTCAGCTCTGCTGTCGACGCAGGAAAGCAGCCGTGGGCAATAGGGAAACAAATGGCAATGGCCCTGCTCCAGAATTTAATTTCCCAAAACAGGCAGTAAGCTGGATTTGGTCCCCGCGCCTTGTCTGCCAACCCTGCTTTAGGAAAGGATTCCATGAATATTTATTGAGTACAAACTCTGTATTCAAGGCACTTGGCAGACCTGAGAAAGGAAAACAAAGATCCCTGCCCTCGGGGAGTGCACATTCCAGTTCCTCTATTATTACAAATAAGCAGAGTCAGTCTCATGATGTAATATATTTGAAAGTTGGTAAATACAATGGGAAAAAACAAGTAGTTTAAAGTATAAGGTAGGATGGTGTGGGGCAGGGGGGCGCCTGCGTGGCTAGTTGGTGAAGCGGTTAAGCGTCTGCCTTTCAGCTGGGGACATGGTCCTGGGGTCCTGGGATCAAGCCCCTTACTGGGCTCCCTGCTCGCCGGGGAGCCTGCCTCTCGCTCTCCCTCTGCCCACCCTGCTCATGCTCTTTATCTCATTCTCTATCTCAAATAAATAAAATCTTCTAAAAATAAATAAAGTAGGACTGTCAGGGTAGGCCACATTTAGATGGGACGATTTGAGCAAGGGTGTGAAGGAGATGAGGAAGTTGGCCTGTGGGTGGACATCTGAGCAGAGAGTTCTGGGTACAAGGAAGCCCATGCAAAGGTCCTAAGGCAGGAATGTGTCTGGTGTGTTTCAGGACTAGCAAGGTCAGTGAAGGTAGAGTGGAGTAAGTGAAAAGGAAAATGTTCTTTGTATATGTCTTCTGGAAGATGTCTGTGGCTCTGGGGAGCCTCCACACCAGACTGCTTCGCCACTATAGTAACTTCCTTTTTCTCACTTAATAGTTTTAGACTGTTTTGCCATGTGTATAAGTGTTCTGCAGCCTAACATTTAAAAGTCTCATAATCTATTATGTGACTACACCATTTATTTTTAAAATTCCCTATCAGTGAACTCTCAAGTTTGTTTCTGTTTTTGTTTTTTGTTTTTTTAATTTTCATCACTATAAACAGCACTACAGTGAAATTCCTTTTGGTTAAATCTTTGACTCCAGGATTTTTCCTTAGAATAGATTCCCAAAAGGAGAATCACTGAGCCGGAGTGACAACAGAATATGAGACCTTTGATGTATATTTGCCAGGCCCTTTTAAAGAGTGCCGTCGCCCCCAGCTACAAACTGTCCATACATACCCCTTCCCGCCTTTCATACTGTGGATCTCGGTTCTAGGCTCAAGCACGGATATCAGCGAGGACTGGGAAAAGGACTTTGACTTGGACATGACCGAAGAAGAAGTGCAGATGGCACTCTCCAAAGTGGATGCCTCTGGGGAGGTGAGTGGGCCTGGTTGGCATCAGGGAAGCAAGCCCAATGATCTCAAGGTCTGAGGACTTTCCCCATCGGACCCAGCCATCCCCTAAGGGTGGATCCCTGCTCGTCTCTGAGATGGTAGCTTTGGGAAGGGTGCTGGAGCCTCCATTCAGGCCCTGAATTGTTCCCATCAGCAGGCTCTGCTTGCCCTAAGTTCCAGGGTGGATGGTGGGAGAGTTCCTGACATTAGCTCTGCATGAAAGTCACCTGAGGAGCCAATAAAAAAAAACGCAGGCTCCAAACCCTGCCTTACATCTTCTGATTCATGGTCCCCAGGGATGGGACCTGAACAGATTTCCTGGCCTTGGGGCAAACAGCAGTGTGATCTAGGGCAAGTTACTCAACCTGAGCTTCTGTTTCCCCATCGAAAACCTAGAACTGGCCCTAGAAGCTTGTAAGCTGTGATAGATAACACACCTAGACATGTTAGGCATCGTGCCTAAGACATGGGAGTAGCAGTGAACATTACTGAAGCCACCACAAAACCCAGTCCAACTAGAAGCTCAGAGGCCTTCCTACTCTTAGGCTTCTTTACCTGCAGAGTCGAGCGGGTCATTTTGAATGAAAGACAGGGAGAAAAGCTCTCACAACTACTAAGTGACAGGACTGAGGCTCCAGCCCAGACATCTGATTCAAGTCAGTGTTTCTTCCACTGTCACCCAAGAACCACATGATTCCTTCCATCATGTAGCTCATGAAGCTGCTGTAAAGAGGGGAACAGATGAGACAGACAGGCAGGGCCTCGGTTTTCATATTGGAAAACTGAAGCCCGGGGAGAGGTAGAGACCCACCCAAGAGTCTTTGGCTCCTGTGACCTCACTATACCCAGAGCAGAGAAGGCCCCTGAGCCCCTCTCATGTCACAGGGGCTTGATGCTTTCTGTGTTTCTACGGCCCTCTGTAAAACCTGACAGCTGGTTGCGTAAGCAGAGTCATTGTACCGCCTCTCAGACCCGGGATCAGCTGACAGCAGGCCGACAGAAAGTGCCCTGGGGACACTTGAGCTGAGGGAGCAGGGTGCTAGAGCCCCTGAGGAAGACCCTGTGAGCGCCCGAGCCCAGTGCCACCTTGCCTCTGATCACAGTGCCCCTCTCCAGTTCTCCTTAAGGGACTGACTGACATGGCTCCTGGAGGCAAGGTGTCCCCTTCTAGCATCCAGTGTGGGCTGGTGAAGCATTTCCTTGGGGTCTGGAATAATCAGAGCAGCAGAGCCACCACTTAGGCAGAGGGCAGTTCTGCTCCCCAGACACATTCCTTAAGACAGTGGTTCACTCTCCCAGAGGCCAGGAGGGTATGGCCCAAGGTGAGGCTGCGGGGGAGTGGATGGGCTGGTCTTTGGGCAGGTGGGCGCGGGGGACTATGCAGAAATGGAGGCAGCAAGGGGAGGTTGGGCCTGGGCTTGACTCAGAGGAGTAAATATGTATTTGTGCTCTCCATTATCCCCTTCTGTCTGCAGCTGGAAGATGTAGAGTGGGAGGACTGGGAATGAGGGGAGCCGGAGCGTGCTGCTCCCCCACCCACAGAACCTCCCACCCCCTCGCTCGTCTCAGCCCAGCCCTGGAAGACACTGACTGAGAATGTCCCCCCAGTGGCCTCTCTCAACCAGAGCTCTGGGCACAGATTCTGGGTGGCTCCTTGCTGGTCCTTTGGACCTCTGCTCACATCTGGGAAGGGGCTCACTAAATCCAAACCAGGAACTCTGACTTGTGCCAACCATAGGATGACTCAAGGGGGAAGAGACTTACCCCCTTCACCAGAAGAGCCTGCATTTCTCTGCTGAACACCCACTGTTCTTAGGGATTCTTGCTGGGAAGTCCCAAGGGATAATTCTAGCCCCTCTACCTGTGTAGACGGAAGCTAAGCACCAGTCTCCTGGAGGAAGCGGAGACAACACTCTGTCCACCCATAAGTAGGCAAGGAAGGCCATCCCACCATCCTTGGCTAGACCGGGATGGCAAGCACATTCTGGTTCCTAGCCCAGTGAGTAAGAGGCATTCCTCTCTGGGAAACTTGCCTCTCTTGGGGAATCTCCCCCTCCCAGGCATTTTCCATTCCCAGAAAGGTTCCTCATGGTTCCAAATCTAGAGACCAAACCCTGAGTTCCCACCTCCTTCCTCTTGTCTGGCCCAGGCTGGTATGTCCCCATGCCTCTCCCAGGGCTTCTTTGTGTCGGATGCACCCAAGTCCTTAGCCCAGCTGTGCCACCAGCAAGAGTCTGCTCTTGCATTTCTTCCCCTCCCCAAGAAGGGAGGGGGTCACTTCAGGCCCTTCTGTGCATTGCCTGGTGGGATACCTTGTCCAACCAGCTACCCACCTCCACCCCCCTGTAGCTTAGGACACAAGCCAGCTACCAGCAGTACAGAGCAGCGATCGAAGCCGAGTACTTCCGACTCTGGTAAGCCTGGCTTCTCCCCCTCAGCCCTTCTGCTTCTTGAAGGGATATGCTGGGGATGAACTTCTTGAGGCTCTCATCAGGCTTCTGCAAAAGCTCTTCTTCCTGAAGACTAACCCAGTCTTTGTGGCTCTCACCCTCCACTCTGGTAAAGCTGTTCCTCTCTTGGGGGAATGAGGGGCTGCAGGAATTCCTGGAGACCCTGGTGCTTCATGATGCTGCTTGGTGATTCTGGTACAGAGTCTGGTGTATTCACCAGTGAGCTAAAGGGAGTGTGGTCAGGTGTGCTAAGAGAGTGGCAGTCACTTCCACTCCAGACCTTCAGTGAGGGGGTGGGATGGAAAGAATGTTGAATCTTTTTTTTTTTTTTTTTGACGGGATGGGGTTTTTCTCTTTGTAATTATTTCTTTAGTTTAATTAACCTTTTGGTTGTTTGTGCAATATTATATATTTTAAATTATAATGCATCTCCCCCAGAGTATTTTGTAGCCAGGAAAAGAAAAAAGGAAAAAAAAAAAAAAAGATTCTAACAGCTGTTAGTTTTGTAATTAAAAAAGAAAGAAAAAAGAACTTTGTCCTGAACCTTTTCCAGACTTGCCGTTAACAGCATTAAAGAGATTCAACAGAAGCTGGAAGGTGTCTGGGGGTCTATTCTTGTCCCCAACAGTGGCTGCCCCAGAGGCAGGGCAGGACGAATACAGTGTGCAGGCTGGCTTCTGGCGTGGAGCCTGGGGAAGGGGCAGGGATGGCAGCGGGGGTGGTCTGGGTCCCTAGGAGGTCCCCTGTCCTCACCTCAGACTCAGCTTAGACTCTGGGGTGAGGCAGAGACCAGGCCCCTAGCAGGCCTCTCACTGAGACAAGGAGTTGAGAGGCCGTCTCTGCATTCCCAACGCTTCTGCTTTTATTTGGAAAGGAAGTTGCAACAGCAATGGTTCCAGTTGCTCTTGGTCACTTTTCCCCTCTCCTCCCCCAGTGTGTGTGTATGATTCTGGGGTCTGTTCTTCATTAACTTGAGTTAAACACCTGTGTGAAAATCACTTGTTAGCTGTAATAAAAGGGAAGTCTGAATGAGGCCCTCTGGTTGCATGAAGATCTTTTAAGGGAAAGAGAAGTAAAGCTGGGGAGGGTGTAGGTAAGTTTCAGGAGAGAAGTAAAGTGTAAAATACATATCAGCATCTTAGAAGCGGGTTTTTGGGTTTGCTTTCTCCCCCTGCTTTATTGGGGAGGACTTGCCATTGCTTTTATCAAGTGCTTGCTAGCCACGGATGCCAACTAACTTCTTCGATTGAGGGCCGGAGGATCATATCTGGTTCCAGGAGCCGCTTGAGCAGGTCCTGGCATTCGGCCGAGATGCCCAGATGAGTGGGGAAGGACACCCCCTTCTGCTGCTGCCACAGCATCTTGGGGATGTCTGTGTCGTCAAAAGGTAGGCTGGCACAGAGCATGACGTACAGGACCACACCCATGCTCCAGACGTCCCCCTTCTTGCTGTCGTGGGGGATTCCCTGCAGCACCTCGGGGGCGGCATAGGCTGTGCTGCCGCAGAAGGTCTGGCTCAGCTCCCGGCGTGACTTGGGCAACACCTTCGCGAAGCCAAAGTCAGTCAGCTTCAGGTTGAAGCCCTGCAACAAGGCGTTCTCACATTTGAGGTCCCGGTGGGCCACACCACAGCCATGGCAGTAGCGAATGGCCTCGACCATCTGACGGAAGAGGGCCTTGGCCCGGCTCTCGGGCAGTGGCCCCCCATTCAGCACACAGTCAAAGACATCCCCTCCTTCAGCCAGTTCCATCACCAGGTAGATTTTCCCGTCAGCAGACTCCAGCATCTCATACACCTGGATGATGTTCTTGTGGTCCAGGGTGCGAACAATCTGGAGCTCCCGAGGCAGGAATCTCTGGATAAATTCTGAGGAAATGGGAAAAGACATGGGGTATCAAGTCCGGAAGGGCATTAACTCTCCACTCCTGTCTCCTGCCTCCCAGCTTCCGTCTGCCCACCGTGTCTGGTTCTGGTGCCTGGGGTCCCATTCACTCTTAAACGTCTAGCTGCTTGGACATTGCAAAAAATGCTCACACTGTTATTTTTGTAGTTAATATATTATTCAAAGGAACGACTCCCTGCACCCTCAGGGACTATTGTGAGCAACCTGTGAGACCACAGATATCAAAGTGCTTTGAGGGGTTTTAGACAAAACCACTGAATCTCAGGTATGAGGCCTGATTTGCCCACAGCGTGGTGAGCCAGCTCCTCACATGCCTGCCCCCTGACCCGCGGTTCCCAAGCCCTGTCTTCCTTTCTCTCACTTCCGCCTGCCACGGCAGCAGCTCCTGCCCTCTACCAGCCTAGGCCAGGGCCTCTCTGCCCATATCTGTGGGGGACAGAGGGAACAGGGAAGGCCCAGCAAGGGGGGTTGTGCCTGCAAGGACCCTTTACCTCCCTCCACTTTAATCTTGGGTTTTAGAGGTGCAACGTTCCTGGACTTCCAGCATCCTCCTCTTCCCCACTCACCTACCCCGGAGCCACAAACTCCCTTGCACTCCTTGGGTCCAGACCAAAGGGGAGGAGGGGATGATCCTTTCCAACTGGAGGAAGTGCCCACCCACCTCAACCAGCCCTCCCTTCCTCCAAAGGGGCCCCAGCTCACCTTCTGGCCCTCCCATCTTGTCTATAATTTTAATTGCCACTTTTCTTTGGTGTTTTTTGGAAAATGCTTCTTTGACTTTTGAGTAGGTCCCTTCCCCAATGGTCTTGCCCAGCTGGTACCCACTGGAGAGCAGAAAGTCCTCCATGCTGTCTAGCGCCTCCTTCCTTCCTATCACCCTCTCAGCTCATGCTGCCTCTGTGAGGCAGCTCTACTCCACCATCGCCCTTGGCCTGCTCCTTTTCCCCCCAAGGACTTCATGCGCAGCCGCTCCCAGCGCTAGAACATTCTCCGTCTGGACACAGCAGCCACGGGTGGTGGGGAGGGAGAGGGCCAGACATTTTAAAACTCCGGCCCAATTGTGATGTAAATGCTGTGTGACCCTTGGCCAAAATTGTCAGTGCCCTTACCTGCCCTCACCATCACCACCACCAAACCCACCACGGGTTAAGTCCTCGCCGCGCCCGCGCCCCCGTCCCCCAGGCGGGCAGGGAGTCGCAGCCCGCCCCGGGGCGCTCGGGGGAGTCTGCGCGCTGCCCGGGATGAGCGGCTCCTTTTCGTGGACGCCACCTCGTGGCTGCTTGCAGCCGCCTCCTGCGCCCCCATCGGGCTGCAGGGGGTCCGCCCGACCCAGTGCCGAGGCGCCATGGCCGGAGCGCTCCGGCCCCGGCTCGCGGCCGCGCTGAGCGCCGGGCCTCCCAAGTCGATGGGGGTGGGAGGGGGGGGGGTTCCCAGCGAGAGGAACCGGCTCTGTGAGGTCAGCGCGCCGCGGCCCGGGTCACAATGCAGCCCGCCCCCTCGACGCCCGGGCCGCGGCGCGCCGCAGACACCTGCCGGGCTCCGCCTGGACCGGAGCGTCCTCCCGCGGCCAGGGGTCCGGCAGCTGCTTCCAGCCTGGGACCGGCCTCGGCCTCCAGCAGGTGAGCAACAGCCCAGAGGGCGGGCGCGGGCAGGGGGCGCCCGGCGGCCCGGGAGCGGCCTGACCGCCACTCCCCTGGCAGAGCGCCCCGGGGCCTGGACATGAGTGCCCAGGAGCCCCCGCAGGGTCGAAGATTCCCCATTGAGGCCGGAGACTCCCCTGGCCTTGCCGCCGCCCCCGAATCCCAGGACAGCCCGGAGCCGGTGGCCACGGAGCACAACCCGGTCAGGTGAGGCCGGCGCCCTCCCCGCGGCCCCTCCCGCCCCCCCGACCGTCCCCGCCGTGCGGGGACTCCGGACCGCCTGCGTCCAGGCTTTCCCTGCCCAGAACCCTGTCCCAGCGTCAGGGCCTCTCCCACCCTCCGGCACCGCGGAAGCCCCGTGGGGGCGGGTTGGCCCGGGTGCAGTCCCCGGGCGCGGTCCCAACAGCAGAGGCCGGGCCCTGATTTCCTCAGGCCGCTTCGACGCTGCCCGGGCTGCCACTGCCTGACGCTGCTGCACGTGCCCATCGACGTCTACCTGGCCATGGGCGGGAGCCCCCGGGCCCGCGCCACCTGAGTGCGCCTGCGCACGGCGGCTCCGCGGGAGCCGGGCGGGGACGAGGCCCGCCGCGGGCCACCACGCTGAGGTCGCGCGCGCCGAGCACGAGACAATGATGCACATTTTAAAATAAAAGAATGATGCACATTTTAATAAAGCACAGCATAAACTGTTCTTTCCACTCAGGGCTGGCCGTGTATGTCTGTCCCGTTCATCGGTCCGCAAACTGCTCCACCCCATCCAACAGCTCCTTCCTCTTGGCGGCCTCCTCCCTCGGACCCAGCCCTAGAGGCCGGCCCTCCCCGTCCGCCCAAACGCCCCCACCCACCCAACCTCTTACTGATTCTGACCCCTTCCAGGATTATCTTTCCCCTCGGCCCCTGGCCTCATCCTTCTCATCTCTCTCCTGAGTTTTCCAATGCAATCCGCATAGCTGTGCTGGATTCCGGGGGTCCAGAGAAGCTCCGGACTGGAGGGGCTGGACAGACAACTCAGAATAAAGAGAATGGCCAACCACACCCGCCCATTTAATGCTCCCGAGTTGGAATTAGAGTTTGCTACCTGCTGTTCTGTGACCCTGGGCGGCTCGGGTTAGGGGCCATCTAGAGCCTGATTTCTCCTAGGAGTAGCGGGACCAGAAAAAGATTGGGAGAGAAGTCGTTTGAAACACCTTGATTTCTCATTCCCCTTTTATAGGCGAGGGAACAGAGCCTTGAAACACTTCCCCGGGCTCCCGCAGATGATGGTTGATAGGCTAGCACACTTCTCAGTGTCCTCAGACTTAATACTCTAAAATCCATCCATGACCCAAGGATGCCTGGAAGTACGGCATTTAGCTGAACAAGTATTTTCCACTTTCCAATTTTGCTTTAATGAATCTGTATTATTTTAATATTGGGGAAAAAATACACATAACCCAGAGGTCAGGTTCACTCTCTCCTGTCCCCTGAAATCTAAAGGCAAAGGACCTAACACCCCTAATCCACATGGGGTAGAACTCCCAGCCCTCCCTAGAGTACTTCAAAATCCCACACTCACCCAAAAGGACCACCATTCTCAGTTTCCACATTAATTCTCTCCCAGGCAGACCCAAACTTAGGAGACTCATTAAAAGAGGAGAAGAGGTCACTATAATGCACACCTGAAACTAATATTACACTATGTTAACTAACTGGAATTTAAAACTTTAAAAAAGTAAAATAAAAAAATATATTAAAAAGTAAAAAAAAAAAAAAAGACGAGAGGATGTTTGCCAATAAAGGGTCTACTTCAAAGTGAGGGTTTAAGACTTGACCACTCGGTGCCTGGTCCTTCAAACACCCTGGTGTTAGAAAGTCTTCGCATGCTTCTCTTTCCCTTTCACCCACCAGAAGAATCCGTGGCTTCGGGCCACAGTGCTGACTTCTCTCTCCTCCTTACTCCCCACCTCCTCCATTCTTAGAGAGCCCCTGGGGCTCTCAGTTCACTCTATTAAGTGGAGTAATCTAGCTGTTTCCATCCCCATCAAACTCCAGCCAGGCAGGCCTTACTCAGCAGTGCTGCAGCTGTGCTAGAAGGGGGCCTTCCTGTAAACAGTCACCCCCCTCCTTAGAAGACCACTGTAAGTTTAGAGAGAAAAAATTGTTGGCCTCTGTATTGGTAAGGTCTCTCCTTTACAAACAAATGAAGTTAACTTATGCCAAAAAGGAATTGGTCGTTTCCAGTGGCTGGGAAGAATGAAAGCTTTCCAGATACCTAAGCTCAAAGGAAGAACTGTAGAAACCAGAGTGTCTGCTGGGCCCATCAGGACTGCTCCTTTGTTCATCTCTTATCCCTGATTATCTCCTCTGGGCAGGGAACATGGCTGTGGCAGTTTGGAAATTGCAGTTGGAAGGGAGACGTGCTTTCTCCCAGCCTCAGTTTACCTGACCTTGGGAAGGGCAGTGATTTGCCCTTCTTTTAAGTCGCATGCGCACTGTTTTGGCCAATTACCATCTTCAGGGAAATGCGAGACTGTAATTGATCCGGCTGGGCCAGCAGAACCTGCCCTTGAGGTGGAAGCATGGCCAGGTGATGGACAGCATCACCAGAAAACAATGGGAAGAAATGGAAAACAAAACAAAACAAAACAAAACACACATTCCAGGAGCAGAGAGAGCTTATGTAAAGATTGGATATCCCTGAGAGGAAAAGAAGCTCAGAGAGAGAGAGAGAGAGTGGCAGGGGCCAGGGTGGCAATTCTGTTCCATGGCAATGAGAAGCCTTGGACAGTGTGACAGGAGTGAGACCACTGGGTTCTCATTTGGGCTCTCCCCTACCTCGGTCGGTACAAGTCCATCAGCCAGGCCCATGCAGGGCACTGGGGATTCAGCAGTGAACTTGAAGGACACGGGCACTGGCCCTCACGGACTCATACAGCCTAGCGGGCAGAAGACCTCACTTCAGCAAGTTCCTTCCTTACTAGTTTAAAAAATCTGGGGGGCTTCCTGGCTGACTCAGTTGGAAGAGCATGCGACTCTTGATGTCAGGGTGGTAAATTCGAGCCCCACGTTGGGTGTAGAGCTTACTTAAACAAATACATACACTTTAAAAAAAAAAAAAAGGGAGGTGGTGTCTGGGTGACTTGGTTGAGCTGAGCGTCTGACTCTTGGTTTATGCTCAGATCATGATCTCAGGTCATTGGATCAAGCCCCACATTGGGCTCCACACTTCCCCCACCTCCACTCCCCGTCAGCTCTCTCATTCTCCCTAAAATAAATAAAATCTTTTTAAAAAAAGAAGAAGAAAAAAAAAAAAAGACTGACTGCCAGCCATCCCCCATATGCTTGGATAGTGAGTGAGGCGAACATTACAGACACCTTGCCTGGAGGGGTCAGACCCTGGGGCCAGTTAGTTCCACTAAGTGGAGGGAATATTGTACGCAAAGGCCTGAAGGCTGGAAAGCGCGGAGGCGTTCCAGGAAATCAGTTCAATCACCTTCTTCCAACACCTACCTATATGGGCTACACCAGGTGCTGAGAACCTAGACTTGAATCTGACAGATCCCTGGCCCTGACAGAGCTCAGAATTCAGGGGATCTGACGAAGAACCTAACAGAAGAGAAGCTGGATCAAGGGGGCCTTGGATCTGAGCTTCGTTCTACAGGTGACAGCATGACACACTCCAGCCTGACTCACTCGCTCACCGATTTCTTTTCCGCTTGTCCGTCCTGTTAGCATTTCTTCTTTTGTCCCCCGGAAAAGTCACCAGCCTAAATTCTTAGATTTGAGTCCCGACTCTGCAATTTTCTAACTGTGCAAACTTGGTCTTGTTACTTAGCCTCTCTGAGTCTCCATTTCCAAATCTGTAAAATGGGGCTAACGACACCTGCTTGAAGTCTGCGCGCATCTCCAGCGCCAGGTAGGAGTCTCAGGCACAGACAGCGCTTGAGCAAAAAAGGCTGCTGCTGCTCCTACCTCTGGCTTTGAGGGGCAGCAGAGAGCCAGCCAGTCATGTCCCCTGGGCCTGGGTGATGTCCAGCCTTGGAGAGGGCTGGGGAATCCCTCTTGCCTCTCTCTGCCAGTTCACAGCTTTTCCGTTTGTGAGCCTAGGAACTTGGTTGGGGGGCATTTCCAGGGGAATTGCCAAGCGGGAAAGAGAGAGCTGCCTCCCTCGCCCTTGAGGGTAAAGCTGCCCCCAGACCCTAAGGCAGGACTACCTGATCCCAATCTTATTCTCTGGGCCCAAAGAATAGGGAGGGACCTGGGAAAAGGGTCATACTCCAATTACGGCTTCCCCTGACTTGCCTCTCAGACACCTTATTAACTAGCCCCTCCCTAAAGGACCCCCTTTTAGAAGGAGGGGGCGAAGTACAGATGGACCCCCAGGTTACCATGGAGATGGCAGGGAAAAGGTTGCTGTATCGTCATGGCAACAACTGACGTCAGTACTACCCTTTCCCGTTGCTTGATGGGGGTGGGGGGGGACAGCCACCCCAACCATAAGCAAATACCCCACAAAGCCTCCTTCCCTTACTGAGCCAATCAACCAGGGGGTCGACAGGCTTAATATAGCACAGAGTTAAAAGCAGCCTCTGATGTCAGTCAAATCTTCGTTCAAATTTAAGCTGTGGGAATTTTAGCAAGTTCCTTAAGCCCTGGAAGTCTCATTGTACGATGGGGATAAGTAAGCTACATGCCTCCGAGGACTAGTGGGAGGACTGCAAGGTGTCATGGGTCATGGGCACTGGGCCAGCTCATGGGAAGTGGGTTCTGACATTAGGGACTGTTGAGTCCTGGGGACCCATCACAGATGCAACCCTTCAGACAGAAACTCACAGCCCCTGGAAAGCCTAGAAAGGGCTTCCAGGGACTGGTCTCCTGAGTTGGAACATCTCAGAACTGGGGGTGGGGGGGGTCCTCAAGGGGAACCAGAAAGAGTGGAATTTCCAGACTCTGAGGAAACCCCAGATGCCACTTTCCCTGAAACCCCGTCACATCCGGACTCTGGCCCAACTTCCCCTTCTCCTCCCCTCTGCCTCCTCCGAGGCCCTCACAGCAGCCTGCTGCCTCTCGGGCCTCCACCTGCTCTTCCAGGAAAAAGGCTGGATGAGGGCCCAAGGGAAGACATCAGGCAACCAGACACCAGCTAGGTCAGTGGGTTGGACACCACAGGGATACCAGTGTCCCAGCACCTGCAGGCCTCTCCCCACCCACTCTCCGGGGTGAGGCCAACACAAATATTCTCGTTCCCTGTCTCTGCCCTCACTGTCTTTCCAGGCAACCAGAGTCCGTTTGCCCCACAGGGGCCCGTCATTGCCCAAGTCCAGAGTTATTTATGAAGACCACAAACCCAGCCATACCATTCTCCTATTTAAGACTCATCGATGGCTGCTTCTTCTTTTTTTTTTTTTTAAAGATTTTATTTATTTGACAGACAGAGGTCACAAGTAGGCAGAGAGGCAGGCAGAGAGAGAGAGAGGAGGAAGCAGACTCCCCGCTGAGCGGAGAGCCCAATGTGGGGCTCGATCCCAGGACCCTGGGATCATGACCCGAGCCAAAGGCAGTTGCTTTAACCCACTGAGTCACCCAGGCGCCCCTCATCGATGGCTTCTTTCCATCACTTATCCAGCCACACCAGACATCCCCTAGTGATTCACCTAACATTCTTCCACTTTCAGCATGCCGCTCCTTCTGCCTGGAGCAGCCTCTCTCTCAACCTCA